CAAAAATCCCGATGCGAAAAATTTCATTCCGCTTCCTTCGTTCGTTTAATACTAAAAATGGAAAAACCTTTCATGTTACACCTCGGATCAATCGTCTTATTTTTTTTTTTTTTTTTTTTTTTTTTTTTTTTTTTTTTTTTTTTTTTTTTTTTTTTTTTTTTTTTTTTTTTTTTTTTTTTTTTTTTTTTTTTTTTTTTTTTTTTTTTTTTTTTTTTTTTTTTTTTTTTTTTTTTTTTTTTTTTTTTTTTTTTTTTTTTTTTTTTTTTTTTTTTTTTTTTTTTTTTTTTTTTTTTTTTTTTTTTTTTTTTTTTTTTTTTTTTTTTTTTTTTTTTTTTTTTTTTTTTTTTTTTTTTTTTTTTTTTTTTTTTTTTTTTTTTTTTTTTTTTTTTTTTTTTTTTTTTTTTTTTTTTTTTTTTTTTTTTTTTTTTTTTTTTTTTTTTTTTTTTTTTTTTTTTTTTTTTTTTTTTTTTTTTTTTTTTTTTTTTTTTTTTTTTTTTTTTTTTTTTTTTTTTTTTTTTTTTTTTGACGCGAAAGAAGCGCGCACGCGATATCGATAACAATCGGTTATTTCACATACAATAAAATCAGCATCAAGAGTAAAACTTTCGACAGCGCGTAAAATGTATAAAATACAGCGAGAATTCGAATCGCTTCGATAATAAAAAGCTGTTTTATCTGCGAATCATCGTTGGATACGATTTCACCGCGGAAATACATTCTAAATACGAAATATCAGATACCGTGCGCGGATATGCCACTGAAAAGCTTGATTTCGCGAAACGTAGGAAATTTAAAAAATGCTCCTAGTAATTTGATCGTTAATGCACATCGATTCGCCGATGTAAAATACGCGCGTCGTGGAATTCGCATAATATTCGTGGCGTATTTGAGCGCTCGCGAGAATGAACTTCATCTCGCTGCGACTCGCATTAATCTAGAGGGACTAGACGCGTTTAATTTTGAAATACGACGGTTTAATTGCATTTTCGTGTAGGTGGAATACTTCACCTGCGATCGTTATACCGGCGAATACGACCCGCGGTTTATTCATCGACATTTTACGCCCTATTTATTGAAATTTCGAATTATTATACCAGGCCGATGTAACATTTCTATCCGACACAATTTTTACGGAAAAATTATTTCACCAACTAATATTGACGTTGTGCGCTCAAACGTGGTCAGCGTGAGTCAACGCTCAAATATCCTGCGTCATTTCTTTATATTTAAGAACATGTATTTTACGAGAGATCTTCCTCAATATTATATTATATTATCTTTCGTATTATCAATTCTTTCAATATACAGGGTGGTTGGTAACTGATGGTACAAGCGGAAAGGGGATGATTCTACGCGAAAAAAGAAGTCGAAAATATAGAATAAAAATTTTTTTTTTATTTTTTCATGGAGACAACGATCTACAGTGAGATCCGTTATAACGAGACGCGATAAAGTACGCGTACCGAGCGAAAATTCAAAGTCGATTTTCTCGAAAACAAAGCCTCGAACGAAAAATGTTTATTCTATATTTTCGACTTCTTTTTTCGCGTAGAATCATCCCCTTTCCGCTTGTACCATCAGTTACCAACCACCCTGTATATTGAAAGAATTGATAATACGAAATTGCCTGGTCTTGTTCGATATAACAATATAGTATCATTGATTGAACGTGGCACTCTCAGTCAGCAATAGTTAATTTCTTATTTTCAAGCTTCATTTTTACGAATAATTGCGAAGAGTGGTGATAAAAGTGGCACGCCGACAATACGATTTAAGCGACTCATAGCTACGAAGAAATTCTTGCTTAAGCAAGATACGCGGAACGAAATTCTGTCGTGCAAATTTCGCTGGCCTGCATTTATAATTTAATTTTCTATTCGAAGACACGATGAAAACAAGTCAGACGATTTACATGAAAATGTGATTTTCCATCTCGTGACAGATATTCAGAGGGAAAAGAAAGGGGGAAAGGTAGAAGCAACAAGCTCGCCGAGAAGAAAAAAAAAGTAATGGTCTTCTAGAAACGGCAATTTAAGAGTCTCACGGATTCTTTTGATTTAATCGTCTAACCGGAGAGAATTTTCTGCCAACGGCAGCGGTGGCATAAAAAGAACGCGTGGAGGCGCGGGCGTAGCCTTTAAGACGTTGCAAAACGAATTATCCACGTGGCAATATGCCGCCGCTTGGCGTCGTTTACGCGCCACTTCGTTTTACGATCGCTGCCGACTGTTATATTGCTTTCGCCCGGTTGTGTTATCGCGATCTCGCAACTTTCTTTTCTCGTTGCAGTACTATTAAAAAAATATTATCAAGCAACGAACGATGATACGACAGGTGGCCCGATACCGAGCAAACGTAACGTCACATTTTTCTCTATGAATCGTTCGATGTTGACATAAAGCACCGGAAAAGATGATTCGCACGAGAATTCTATGACAACTTCGAATAAATGTCCGTAGCACGTTTTCGTCGGTATTGATTTAACGATAATTAAAAACACCGTTCTACGGTATCCGTGGGTCGTTTTAGTACACACAGGTTGCCGATATAACGATATGTTATTGAAAATGATGTGTGTTCTGACTTATGGTCGAATGAAAATTAAATAGTTTTATAACTTCACGATTTGAATCGCTCGGAGGCCATGTTCATCAACTCCGGTTTAAACGCGTAGAAAAACGACGATTACAAATATTATTTCGTTTTTTAATTTATCTTGGAATTTGTGGTTATTCGTGCCTTGCGATAAGCAAATTTATGAAAATAAGATTTCTTTTTTCAACTGTTCGATGTTAATTATGTGCCTGGATAGCGTGAAACTGATAACTGCGTGAAAAGTGGACTAGGTCAGTCTGGCTCCCAAGAGACATACTTAATTAAACGCAGTTCTTCCACGATGTAATGGCAGAGATATTTATAAAGATTTCGTAATACGAGGAATTTAAGTATTTATTTAAAAAACGTCGAAACGGTACCGAACAGAAATTAGAGACTCTATTAGAATATTCTTTTATTATCCTACAAAAGGAACAAACATAGACGATCTTATCACCTTGGATCGAAAGAATAAACTTTCGAGTTTTCGCGTATTAAGATACGTTGCATAATCTCTATTTATAATAACTAGAAATAAATTCCAGCATTGAGAAGAGTTCGACGATCGATCGTGAGAGATAAGCAATTAGTTGCGTGTAATTATACTTAACCTTCCGTCGATCAGATAAACGAGATGCAACATCCTTCGATATAAAAGTAGAAAGGCATATTGTACCAGCACGCAAAGTTCATATATCGCGCACTTTAGATGCTATCTTTTCTCTGGTTTGACATCTCCGCGTTTCGTGGCTGTCTGAAATCGACGTGAATCGGCGTCATCGCGAAAAAGAAAAGATTAAAGCCTGATTGGTTATTCGTTTATTTAACCGATGATTCTTCGCCGATCTTCAAACTTGCCTCGTTCATCGTAATTGCGCCACTCCACTTTGAGATGTAAAACAATAATATTACAATAACCGCAATAGGATGACGACTAAGAATTCTATATCTGACGAGTTATTTTACTGGGCGATACTTTGCATTTTTATTTAGCAAGTTATTTATCTAAAAGCATTTGTCCCTTTTCCTCGAATTACTTCAAAATTCAGATTTTTCTTTTTACAATATTATATATTTATTTATAGAGAATATTGCTGTGATATAACATATGATTATATACAGGGTGCGTTATTTTAATCGATCCATGCAAGTATCTCCTAAACTATAGATTATTCGAACAAGGGTTTCAAATAAAACTTGTCCTGTTTCAAGGGGAACGTCTTATGGTGACCGTCAGATTTGTTTCAGTTTAGATCAGGTGTAGGCGATTTCGAGATCCTAAGGTGACCTTTGTCTTCTTCTGAGTGGAACTCTTTGTTATATTTTTTTGTACACCACTCGATGCAGTTGTTAATTCTCCACGAAAAGGTATTATAGTTGTATCTGAAAATGCTTAGTTTAAAAGGTACTTCAATGTTAATTTCATCAAGCTAAGTATATAAAAGACAAGGAGAACGTAAACATAAACGCATAAAGATTAAAGTTAAAATATCTTCTGTACTGATAATTTCTCGATCCAAGTACCTTATCGCCTTTTTGCGAATTAAAAAATGCATCGGATGATTTATAAAAAGACGTGTAGTTCCATTTAAAAAAAAAACCATGAAATTTCAAAGGAACGGCCACCTTAGAGATAAGATTTGCGAGCATCGCAAGATGTCCCACCTCGAAACAAAGTAAGTTCTATCCGAAACACTTTTCGAACAACGTACAGCGCAGGAGATATTTTCCTGGATCGATTAAACTCGGACAACCTGCATAATCCGTACGTTTCGCGCGATTACGATGTAAATACAGTGTACTATGCATATTATCGCGATGTAATAAAATTTTAAACAGTTTCGTACAACACGCATAATAAAATCTTTCTGCGGTTCGAACACCATAACGAGCTACTATATATTTTACCCCAGAGACTCTCCAAGGATTCTACCCCATACTAGAATTATTCTTCGTAGAAACAAATTTATCCTCTCTTACCCTCTTGGTCGCGTCAAAGAGTATATGGCGATGCAAAGAAGAGGAAAGAAAATTGAAAAAGGGGCTGTACACGCACGTGTTGACGCATTTCCTGAACTATACCCTTCCAGTGATGCCAACGAGAAAAAAAAAGATGAGGCTGGTTGGATGAAAAATGGTGGGTCGTTCGATCCGCGCAATATGAATATCCTTTTAAATGAATCAAGGAGGGTATCCGGCCAGTTTTTCACGGGCCGCCCCCGGATTATTAGGCGAGCGAAAAATGCCCGGTGCCATTGCTTGAAAAACGAGCGATCGGACAGCCCTGCCGTATTGATCGTTACAAATAGCGCGAGCCGGAGAAGAGCCGCGTGGATTATCCCCTTTATATCGAGCTATTAATATTACTTTCTGCAGATCTTCTTCGACCCTCTGCCGACTCACCGGTGTCCATTCGAGGTTGGGACGTCGAACAGGTCGGGCTTTTGCTCTAACCGAGGTGACGACGCTGTCGTTTGATCATCCACCCTTTTCTCGTTCTCCTTTCCTTGTTGATGTTTTTCATTCCCCCGCTCGTTCCATTGTAGGTGGTTGAAAACGAAAAGCACGCCGAAGCTTGGCGCAAACACTGAGAAATCCAAAGTAAAAGTGCGCAAGTGGCAATTCCCTACTGACCGCGTACATGCTTACTATAATTCTATGGAGATAGCAGTTCTGTTGCACTTTTGTTATATATGTATATTTGATTTTGTATTTCCACTAGTTTCTGCCTATACTGTAGTATCGTGGACGAGGGGCCTGGGGGGTATCGTGTGAATTACAAACAAGCGGTTGCTGAGCACGTTCGTGGTGGGGCTAAGACAAAAGATACGAGGCTAAGACAAAAGACAAGGGGTTGCTAAGGGACGATAAACGAATTAACAGCAGTATGAGTTGAGAAGCCAGAGAGTGGGAATTGCGTTGTCGAGATAGCGTTGCTAGCGTTGTTGAGAGAGAGTTGAATCCGTGGTGACGAGAGTTGCTAATTAATTATCTAGTTGTCTTAATTATAATACGTTGTAGTGATTAGTTCATGTTAAGTAACCATCGTTTCCCGTTTAATCCATTTATTATAGACAAACTAATCATAGTAGTACAAGATACTACAATACGTTTTTGTACTTTGTCGACGTTCTGTTTTTATCCTTTATGACTCATTTACTGTGATAATCGAGACTGTAATATTAGCGGTGTATGGCGACGGTGGAACGCTGAGATGGCTGGATGGTAAAAGAAAAAAGAATCGAACGCTGAATATATTTCTCATGGTAGAAAAATTCAGAAGGTAAGAGACACCGTATACGAGGAACCTTAAGTGCACCTTATGCAATCAGAAAATAATAGATTCCCCTGAAAAAGAAAAAAGAAATACGGTAAGGTATGTTGCAACGAATAATGGTACAATAAACGGAAGTTATAACGAACAGTCGCTAGGAATAAAGTCAAAATGTTACAACGAACGAACATGTGGTAAACAGGGAAAAGGTGTTGTTAATCATCGCTGAATACATGGTACATTTAACTGAATTGATGCTGCAACAGATAATATCCTTAGTGCCACTTAATTAATTCGGTTTAGCATATCTCACTATACTTGACTGAAAATCCCACGAGCATGAGTAAAACCAGGTATTTAAAACTGTCGAAGTAACTACTTCAAAAAAGACTGTACATCTTTATTTACGTATATCCGTGACCCGGTGACTGCTATTACGCAGAAATATCCTAAATAAGGAAAGGTGCATATTATTGTACTCTTGAATATACGTTATGTTTTGGGTTGCAAGGTCTAGGAACAAAGAAAATAATAAACAGATTTCTATTTGTGTTCCCTGTAGCCTCTAGCCAAAGCTATAAGCTTAACTTTTTTGGTCCTTTTGCTGTAAATATATGAACGTGCTCCCTATCGTTCCATCGTATAGTAACACTAAGAGAGTAAGGATCTGAATCAGCATAAACTTATACTTATACCTTTAATTATTTCAATATATCTTTCTATTACAAATTCATCCACTCGTTCTTCATTCAGTCAACCTCAACCTCGACAGAAACCACAGGATGTTTCGCTAAAATCGAACGTTTCTATTATTACTGCTACTATTTATTAACGATAAGAAAAGCCGACTGAGAAGCTTTTCGATGGTTTAAAGGCGAGCATCTACCAGCGGATGAAAGAAACGTACATCGAATCCGCGTCAAAGGAAAGCTTATTCTTTTTCAAGACAAGCTTCTTTCTTTCTTAATACAAACGAAATGCGCTATTTTACGTAACGCACGTCGAAGGGCGCACGAGCGGTACGTGTGATACATTCGTTTTTCAAAGTAACGTCTCGCGTGGCGAACTGTAATAACAGGTAGAAATATTTGCGCACAGGAATTATCGTGTGTATGTGTGTACGGTAACTTTAAGCGTCGCCGCGTTGAAACGAGTGTCGTTTGTCGCGTCTTTTGTTTTTCGATTTATCGTTGAACATTACATGCCGCAAAGGGCAGCGAAACACTAGGGGGTTGAGTATGCTTTGCTTGTAGGAGGAAGTGTTGCCTCTGGGCGTTTCGTGTTGATGATGCGGAATTGCATGGTTCCGAGTAAGTACATGGTTTTAGTAATGAAACGGTTACATTCGTGTTAATTCTGATTTGTTTGTGCTGGCTTCCTATCTCTCTCTCCCTCTCTCTCTCTCTCTCCCTCTCTCTATTTATTCTTTCTTTTTGATTAATACGTTTCTATTGTATATAATTTAGTTTAAATATCACGTAAAAAGTGGCGTTTTAATTAAAAGCTTGAAGCGCCGAACGATTAAATTTACATGAAATTGCAAAGTTCAGTTAGACTTCTTGCCGATTTGTTACAATTGTACAGCATACACTGCCGTGTAATTAACGTTCGTATATTATTCCCATACATTATTAAACGTAGAAATTGCGTACGAATATTCGAGTAATAATTCCTGTTTATAAATATATTTAACAGCGAAGTCGATTTGCATAGAGTTTTAATGTCGCCAAGATGGCAACGTTAACTATAACGACCGAACGCAAAATAATTAAGGAGTTCGCGACTAATAAAAATGTAACTTCATTAGAGATGAAAGTCGGTATGGACGAGCCAACAATTATTTACATATAAATACGCGAACGTGCTATTAAAAGCTACTTACATCAGACCGACTGTTACGTTTCCTTTCTATAAATCTTTATCTTACCTAGTATCGTACGTGCTTTGAATACTGAACCGACATATCGATGTATTACGAAATTTTTAAGCGCTTCGAGCTTTAACTAAACATTTTGAATCTGCATAAGACACGAAAAGGCTGGAAAACTCTTCGAACTTCATTCAACGATATATACTAAAAAATGATATAATTTAACTGAAAAGATATTTACAACATTTAATGCGAAATGAAACTAGATCTATGTATATTAGTTTATAAAGATGCGTCTGGAACTTAGCCTCTGGAAATAAAAATAATTTCAATGAAACACTACAAATGAGTTTTCGTATCGAGAATCAGGAAAATCGAACCATTTTTGTCGACGTTACTTTCTCGAAACACTTTTCAACAGTTCAACGTAAGTTTCAAACATCTTCTAAGTAAAACCAGGTATAACAAAATCGTTTTCAACGTTCGTCACGGATACCTTCTCGCGTTGAACGTGTTTCGAGTAAGAAAATTAATTATTCTCTTAATGTATAATAGCGAGACGATAAAAAGCATCGAAGCTAATGAATAAAACGAACCGGACGAAACAAGGGAACAAAAGAGGCGGATAAGATTATTTCGGGTATTTGTAAGCGGATCTTTTGTTCGAGCACTTTTGTGTCCGGGCTTCTATTTCGGCGTAGGGTGCATCAGAACGCGGAGCGTAGCTTTCGAGGTCATGCTTCTCCCTTTGGACGCGGCGTTTTCCCCCTGTACGAAAGGCCGCGAAACAGAAAGTTACCGAGAGTGACGAGTCCGCTGGGAAATTTCCAAGTTTCCTTTTAATGGAATTATAAAGAGGAGCAGGCGTGACCATGTGACAGCTGACGAACTCGTGAAAATCCCTCGCGGGCAACACACGACGCGTTCCGGACGCGTATCCGACCCGCCAATTTTTCACCGTAATTATGTCCGCCCATGTTTCACCCTTATTTGATCGTCCTCGTCGAATTACGCTCTGGATAATAAACAAACTTGAATCAGCAAACTCCAGTAGCATTTTTCAGCTCTCTAGTTGCTCGCGGTTCCGCGTAATTTGGCGGTAGGGGCGCGCAGACATTGTAGAAATGTTCGTTCGATTGCACGTTCGATATCAAAAGTTACAAGTGTGAATTCTGCTATAGTTCGTTACAAGAGACGCGCGACGAAATGGTTTAACAACTACGTCGAGTTGAAGCACGCAGAGACACTGTTGAAAGTAATGAAATATTGGTTTCAACGGCGCACCTTCGTACAAACGTGAAACCAAGTGTGTGAAATGTCGCGGTGTTTATCTCAACGGAACAAAATGGATCGTACGCAATTCGACAAAATATTGATACTTGTGATAATTTTTCGTGATGTGTAAAATCGATATATTACTAAGGAGAGATTATTTGAAGCGAGGAAATGACATTTCAAAAATTATTTATTAACGATATCGTCAACTCGTACAGTTTTCTAATACCTGAGAATGTATTTGAAAAATCTTTTTTCTGTAGTTACGCGTAAGTAGTATAGTTATTAGGATCACAGTTATCCCTCGTCCGAACAGGTCGCACCTTTTCTACTTAAACAGATTAAGCGTATTCCGGAAGCAAGAGAAACTATTCATTCGTACAAAGTTACTATGATTACGGTGTATTAAGGCACCAGTAGATTTAAATAATTCAAATAATATAGAACTTGCTACAATGCTTAGTAACAAGATCAATCATATTCGATTACGAAAATCGAATTTATAAACGCGTTAATACATAAACGTAGCGACTAATTGATACAAGCTTTGTAAACCACACTCCATCTCGATTTAACTTCTTCCATCGATGAATTAACAACAATACCGCAAACCTGCAAAAAGAATTTACACTGTTGTTGCATTTACTATATAGCATTTACATATTTTATTAATCACTTAAATCCAAGTATATCGAATTTCGTATCGCTTAATAATAATTATAATGTATGGCCGGAAAATACGAGTACAAACACTCGATACCATCGAAACAAAATGCAAAGCCAGGTAGAAAAACGTTCCATTGGGAAATACCGATACGTGCCGATACCTTTTGTAGCCGCTGTAAATACTTAAATCCTGTTAATTGGCGGTCACAGCGACCGTAGCGAAATTAGCCGCGAAATTAATCAACGTGATTTAACGTTCAAATTATAACGCGTCCATGTCGGTAGTCATTCGAAAGTGTTCCATGAGGGTAATTACAGATTGGGATCGCGCGTGCCAAGAGAAAAACGTATAAAACGTAAAGTGGATTTAACGCCCGAACAACTTTGCACTATAAATGCTAATGGCTCCGGCTCGCAGTTAGTTAACCACCTGGCCCCGTAGTTCCACGCGTCTTTACTCAAGCCTGAATCAAGAGAGGGAGTCTTGTTCTCGGCTTACGCTGGGTAAACTCGGAACTCGAACTGTCTGACGGAGTAAAAACAACTTCCTGCCTGGAGAAAAAATTGACGGGCGGTTCAACGTCTTTGCGTTTCCGCGTAATACGCCCGTTATTTAATTCGTCATGTTAATAAATTAATAAACTAAATACAAGAGTAATTAATGGTAGAACTACCGATCCATAATACGTAAATACCAACCGTCTTCTATACGATGAGAGCGAAAAAGTAAGCATACACTTAACAAAACTGGGATTTGCATAACGTCGAATCACCTACACATATACTTATGTTTTTTCGCTCTTAATTTGTGGTCTTAAATGTTTCCATATTTTGTCCATCAACTTTCAATTCATGCAACGTATTATATGTAAGGAGTTTCTTTACACGATATCGGCAAAAAATAAGTAATCGTGTGTACGCCACGTGCAAAGCCCTCACGAACCGTAATAACAATCGTAAAAGGAGCCAACCCATGTGAGTCTTAATACGACAGCGTTATCCGACGTCTCCTTACCTTCCAGAAGGTAATATCACCTAATATCACTTTGGGGATTAAGTTAATCGAAGAAACGAGGTCAGTGGTTCGGGATAAGAGAGAAAAATAGTTTAGATTTCGCAAGTGGAGACTAAAAGCTCGACTCGATCATTCCGCGAGCAGCAATTTTCCGTCGATGCAAACGGACCAGAAATGAGACTGTAGATCATCGAGGATCGCGCGGCGTGTAATGGCATTACGTGGGCGCGTCGAGCGCGAAAGAATCGCGTGCCTTCTCCTACTGTAAGGTCGGGGCAGTCGGATGGCGAAGAAGATTGTCTCGAGGATAAGTCGAGGCCATTAAGGAGAGACGCCCCTCTGCTCTTTCATTAAGCTGCCCTTCTGACAGGTAGCCACGAAAGCTTCTCCTTAAACCGCGACGACGCTCGACTTTATTCCCGACCGCAATGCGGAAACGTGGCACGTCGACGGCCGTACAGCCGGACGTCCCGGAGAAAAGCACAGTGAAGAGGAAACAGCTGATCGATAACGGAGACGAATGTGCCGCTGGATACGCCGTTAATTGAAAATAATACGGAACGGTTTTCCTATCCGTATCACGATCGTGTTCTCTAATACACGTTCAGGCATACGGGATTAATAGCAGTCTAATCTAGTTTGGTTTTACCGTAACTGTGAAATTAGGTGTTGAACAGAGTAAGAAGAGCCAGATAAATTCTAGCTATTTTGTCCTAATACGTATTCTCT